AGGAAGGGGGAGACGTGTGAGTTTGGGTTTGTGATGCTAAGGAGCTAGATACTGAGTGAAAGCTAATCAGCGTATGTTCGTGTTCCGGAATCTCACCGTAATGAACAGCCTGATATTCTGTACAAGTGTTTTTCGCGGCTCTCATCAAAACTCAAATAAATAGCTACGCGCACCAGGGCAGCCGGTGCGATCATGCGTTTTGTGCAATTCCGTTCACCGAACGATTACCTGTTAATGATTTTCACTGCTCTGAATTTAAATTTAAGGGGTTGCACGTGGACAGGGAACAGTCCCCCAAAATTTCAGCTTCCTGGATTCTGCGGTTCTCGACATGACAGTTTAACCGCCAGAAGTTTCATCGAGCCGTATACGTTACCCGCAGCACGGGAAGGCTGGATTTAAATTTTCTGGGTCGCATGTGGACGACGGACACACCTATAAAATTCTAGCTTCCCAACTTCCGTGGTTCTCGAGATAATAATTTTCCCCGCCAAAACTTTTACAGGGCTGTACGTTTTACCTGCGGGTACGGGGAGGTTGATTTTAAACTTGCGGGTTCACACGTGGGTGGGGGGACATTCCTCTAAATTTCCAGCTTCCTGGCTTTTGTAATTCCCAAGTGGACAAGTTGCTGCAGACACACACAGACAAACGTGTGACAGTATGCGTTTTGTACTGCCGCTACACAGAACAAAACGCATAAAAAAGTGCATTTTGTACGACTCGGTCGGGTTTTAGTAAATACCAATGTGAAACAGGCAATACTTGTCAGGCAGTGCCCCCTGTTGCTTGCGCAAACTTCTGATTTTCACGTCTTTTTCTTTTGAAAAAGGCTTGTGTAAAAACAGTGAGAGAGAGAGAGGAAGCAAGTAATAATAATAATTACCTGTAAAAAATCGAGCCCGCAATATGCTTTCGTACCATATGCTGCGCCATTGTAGGTATTTAGTTCTTGCTAAACAGAATCGCATTTAATTCAATCGTTCCAAACTGAAAACCCCTTGTGTGTGTATGGCTCGCTCTACTTTCGAGGAGAGGCAGAGGCCAGCAGAAGTGACCTGAAATGGCAACGTGTGTCAATCACAGGAGGATCCAGGGGAGGGGCAAGGGGTCTTACAGCAGTGGCCCAGGTACCAGTGCTGCAAAAAGTCCGGGTCTAAAGCTAAAACTAAAGTAAACTAAAGCCGAAAGTAACTCTAAACTAAAGTATCAATACAAAAGGCAGTAGGGCCTAAAAGACCCTATGAAGAAAAGAAAGGGCCGGAACAGCGGCCCAACAGCGAAGGGTATTTGACGGGGGAACCGCACAAATCGTGCATGCAATAGGAAAATGCAGGGGTGGGGCAGTAATCGCCCAAGGTCTGTGGTGGTAATGAAAGAAAGAAAATAAAAGGGTCAGATTGTTAGCAAGGTCAGATCTCCAATTAGCAGTGTGTACCTAGCTTTTCCATAATTTCAGAGTGGAGAGGGATTCCGCCCCTGATGCCGATAGCAATCAGCCACTGCCAATAGCAATCACCCACTTGCTTGCTGTTCTTTGTAAGGGTTGCAAGCCGGTCTGATTTGCTTGCATTCCCCGTAGCATCAGTTTACCTGCGAGACGAATTAACGAATGGTGGAGAGCACTACCCGTGCCCCTGTCCTACCTGTAGCAAGTGAAATTTTCGATTTTCAGCCTGAACAAAGACGCAATTTGCGACCACGAGAAGTTGCTCGGCCTAATCTCTCGGGCGCTTGCCGGTTGCGCAAATTGTTGTAAGCGTCCAGCACCGAGCATTCACACCCTGGGTCTGAGGAGACACTCTCACCAACGTAACACATACGACATGAGTCTAAAGGAGAGAAACCCCTCGAACGGCCGAGAGCCCCCCGCCCCCCCGACGCACTGGAACATCGCAGATCTCGTCGACTGTCGCGAGCCGTAACTGGACCAGTTGGTTGAGGCCCACTGCGCCACAAAACGGAGCGCTTTACGCCCCTTCTTTCTTTCTGCAACTTTCTCCCCAGCACGTGCACTCTCCAAGTTCATTTAGATAGTCACTAGGGTATCTATTTTAGCATTGTGTGCTGCGCTATGTTCTGCATAAATAATGCACGCATACACACGTACACACACACACACACACACACACATACACGGGTATACAGACACACATGCACATACACATACACATGCACACGTTACATACATAGATATATACGTATACGCACACACACACGTACACACATACACATACTCATACTCACAGGCACGCATATGCATAGATACACATATATACATACATATACACACTTGCACACATACACACACATACACACACATACACGGATATACAGACACACATGCACATACACATACACATGCACACGTTACATACATAGATATATGCGTATACGCACACACACACGTACACACATACACATACTCATACTCACAGGCACGCATATGCATAGATACACATATATACATATACACACTTGCACACACACATACATGCATACACGCACACACATCTAAACACAAGTGCACGCAGGTGTACACATATGCATAGACACACGTACATACATACACACACATGCACCGACAAACATAAATTGTTAGTCAAAGAAACGCATGTTGACACATATGCACATGCATAGCACTTAACAGTGGCGAATGTAATTTGCATTAAATTGGCCAAGAGCGCAGTCAGTCACTGGGGACGTGCAGGATGCTTGCACATATGGGGCCCAACTGTACTAGGCTGTTCGTTGCTGAGCTGCATAGCTCCAGTTAGTGCCCGCTGAATGTTCGCCATTTCTTCGGAGGACGCCCGAGTGGTCATTTACTTTCAAGCATCAGCAAAACGAGCAGCATGCCTTGCCCATCGAATTTTACTTTCTTGCATGG